TGTTTTCCTGGTGGTAATTCTGTAAGTTTATAGGTTTCATTTTCTTTTAGAGAATGTATTTCTTCTTGCATAGCCTTGATCCAAGCTTCTTGTTCACGTTTTGGTAAGTTTAGAATTTCTTCAAAGCTTTCTGGATCTTTAATTTTAAGTAAGATTGATTCTTCGTCTTCTGCTTTATAAGAGAATCTTTCCGGTGGGACCCCTTTGGTTGATCTGCTAGAAACCCTTCTTTCTACATTTTCTTCACATTTAATTAACTCTTCGGAACTTTTTCAATCTTCTGTAAAATCATCGCCAAGAGATGTTTCTTCATTATTTTCTTCATCATCTTGCGAGTTATTGAAGTGAATTAATTCTAAATCTTCAGCATTATTTTCTGCAAGTTTGTCAGGTAAAGACGCGTTTTCTGAAAATTTAACAGTTCTACTTACTATTATATTCCTTCCACCTACATAAATCCTGTATCCCTTACTTCGTAAATCATATCCTACGAATATTCCTTCTTCAGCTCTGTTGTCGAATTTACGCCGTTTTTGTTTGTTCACATAATAAAATGCTGTACAGCCAAATACTCGTAAGTGACTTAAGTTTGGTTTTCTACCATTCCACAATTCATATGGTGTTCTATCTGTGTCTTTAGTTGGTAACCTATTTTGAAGATATGCAGCAGTAGCTGCTGCTTCAGCCCAGAATCCTTTCGGTAATTTAGAGTTTATTAGCATAGTTTTTGTAATTTCTATTAAAGAGTGATTTTTCCTTTCTGCGACGCCGTTCTGTGCTGGACAATAAGGAACCGAAGTTTTGTGAAAAATGCCGAGTTTCTTTAAATAATTTTCAGTACTTTCGTTACAGTATTCTGTACCGTTGTCGGATCTGAGAACCTTTATTTTCTTTCTAAATTTATTTGTTGTTGATGCAACATACTGTTTAAGTTTGTCGAATACTTCATCTTTTGAAGTAATAAAATAAATTTGAGTATAACGCGAATAGTCATCAATGGATTTTCCCTCCTAAGCTGTTGACTTCAATTGGCCCACACACATCTGTGTGCACTAAATCCAGTGGATTTTTAGATCTAAAACTAGTTTTTGGGGATAAGGTGTTTCAGTTAGTTTCGCTTTTACACAAGTAGAACATTCCACACTATGAGTGCATTTGCCAAGTTTAATGCCGTCTGCCAAATCATTTTTCTCAAGTGTTTTTATGGCATCTATATTTCTGTGGCCTAATCTTTGATGACATTTTAGTATACAGTTTCGTATTTTGAACATGAAACATTATTAGCTAAGTATGCTTTCTCATCAATTGGGTTTACGGATCAATTTATATAAACCTTGCTGAGCGTTGCCGTCGGCTACGAGTATATTGTTACGTTTTATGTAACACTTATTACTATCAAATGTAACAATGCAACCTTTATTGGTAACATATTGAACAGAAAGTAAATTACTATCTAAACCTGGTACATACAATACATTTTCCAATTTTATTTGTGTAACCTGACCCTTTAAGTTTTGAACTTTAAAATAGCCTTCACCAATACCATAAGAATTTAATTTAGCACCATTGGCTACAGTTACTATTTGTTTATTAGAGTCATTTAACTGAGAGAAAAATTTCTTATCACTCGTCATATGAGTTGGAGGCTCCTGAGTCGATAACCCATTCTTGCGTTTGCGTGAGTTTTCATGTTTATTTTCCACTTTTAGAACTTGGGGTTAAACTGAATCTGCGAATTTTTCAGTTTCAATACTTTTAAGATACTTATTTTCTTTAACTTTTAAGTTTTTGTTATGTTTTTCTACAATTTGCGTATTTGCTATTTGGCATGCATTACTTTTATAATTTTGAGGATAATTTCTTACTTTACTATTATTTACATCTGTTTTTGGGGAAGTTCTAGCGTTGCGTTTTAAATGAAAACAGTCATTTATCATATGGTTATTTCTATTACAATAAGTACAAAATTGTGTAACATACTTTGGTTTATTTTCGCTTTTACTTTTTAAAGCAACTGAATCGTACTTTTGAACTTTCTTAGTTTCCACACGTTTACAATACTGATCTATTAGTTTGTTTTTAACATATTCTAGCGACAATTCAGCTTCCGATTTACTTTCTATTGCAGTTATTAAGGAGTTGTATGAATTTGGTAAAGAACATAGTAGTATTGCTATTAAGTTATTTGCTTTAATTTCTTAATTTCTTCACCTATACTACGCAGCTTTTTCAGCCAACTCTAGTACTCCTTTGATATGTTCCTGCATTTTAGAACTTTCATTATATCTAATGGAATATAGTTTTCTAAGAAGAAATAACTTATTTTGTTAAATTTACACGTTCATGGACACATTTTAACTTCTGCCAAACTTCTTTTTGCAGATTTACTATGTAAAACATGGATAATTTGTGAATCCGAAATGTTTAGGACATATTTAAAGCTTTAGCTTTATGATCATTCTTTAACCAAATATCGGTATCAGTTTCCGGTTTTTTCTTCGAATACAACATCATCTAAACCTTCTTTTATTAGAAGTTGTTTTATTTTAAATTTCCACACTGAATAATTTTCATCTGTTAATTTTTCTATACAAATTAATTCTTTTAGAATAGACATTGGTACTTGTTACAATTATTCTTATAAACTTTGTAACTAGTTTTTTTTTCAACAAAGAGTTTTAACACTTTATGCCCCTGGAATCTTACAACATTACAAAATTTCAATTTCTCAGTCTCATGATCTCTTGTTGGTTGTGCATTAGCACTGAAGGCGTAATGAGTACATTTCCTCAAGCACAGAATTAAAGAATCATACATAAGTCAAAAAGATTAACTACGAAATCTTTATTTAATAGGATAATTTTGCTTAACTTAAGCATAACAAAAAGTAATAATGTTCAAGGACATTAAAATTGAAGTATTCAAAAGAATAACTTACATTGAATCCTCATCAGTACTAAATATCATCAGGCTTACCTATATTAGGCAATAAGAAAAATAAACAGGAACATACTTTGCCATCGTACCTGAAAGAGAAGAAAGTACTACTGGATTAGACCTTTGGCCAGGTACAAGTAGCTAGGGTGAAAATCAAATATACTGCATTGCACTCGAGCTTTACTTTCTCTCGCCAATATATACCTTGGCGCACATTCGTTTCGTATGCCTTTCGAGTTTCATTATGCAGAATACCTAAATTTATGCTAACATTGCCCCTGTTTTGCTAATGAAAACTCATACCAATTTTAGTTCATTCCTGCAAAAACTGAAATTTAGCTTTAGGAATTGGTTTAGTCATAATATCAGCAACCATTTCCTCTGTTGAAGAATAAGCAAGTTTTACTATTCCTTTGTTATTCAAGTCGCGTATATGATGAACTTTTGTATCAATATGTTTTGTGCATGAACTGAAATTTTCAGATTCTACAAGTCTTATAGTAGACTGATTTTCTTCAAATACCTTTATCGGTAGAGTTTGGGGTAGATTGAAATCTTCTGTTAATTTTAATAGCCATAATAGTTCTTGCGTAGCTTGCGATAGTGCAACATATTCAGCTTCTGCTGAGGATAAAGAAACACAAGTAGCTAGGGTGAAAATCAAATATACTGCATTGCACTCGAGCTTTACTTTCTCTCGCCAATATATACCTTGGCGCACGTTCGTTTCGTATGCCTTTCGAGTTTCATTATGCAAAATACCTAAATTTATGCTAACATATGTATATATATGGAGTTTAATATTCTTCTATAATAATACTTTTTACAACTACTTGCCAAATTTGTTATGAGTCAAATATTTAGTAAATTTAAGTTCAATGGTTAAATTGACTGCTGTAATTTCCATGTAAAGTTATGTGTTTTTAGTAGATTTTCTATTCAATTATGTTTTATATTTCTGTGGTAATACCTTTATTTTTATGGTAATTTTATTATAAAATTATGTACTAAAGATTTATTTGTGCAAGACTTTATCACATTCAGGTAATCACATGATTTAAATGAGTAAGGGGTATAAATAATTTATATAATTTTCATTTTTTTATTACAATCTCTATTTCATTTTATTGTGCATTTTATTTTAATCTTTAAATGCTGAAATGGTCATGCGGAACAAAATGGGATACAGTTTACTTAGATTATTCAGGTTTTGATGCTTCAGATGTCAGTCTGAAACATAAGAATAATCTACAACGTATTATAAATTTTAATATGATTGGTATTTCCATAGTTATAAAAGAATTTTAAAAAATAGTAAGGGGATCTCCTTTAATTTTGATTCAAAAGTTTAAAATGTTATAGGTTTCTGTATGCAGTAGCATATTTTTTGTATTGCCGATTGCAATAAAAAAAGGGAGGTGCTCAATTAGATGTTATAGAAGACCCAATCCGAAATTTTAATATTCTACAGCTAATAATTTTTCAGTTTACATACTTATGCTCAAACATCCTGAACAAAAATCCCCTTTGAATCCATTTTGGAAAATTGAGTATTTTATTCTGTCCATATGCACAGATTTCATACCCCCCCCCCCCCCCCCCCAAAAAAAAAAAAAAAAAAAAGAAAAAAAGAAAAAGAAAAGAAAAGAAAACCGAGTGGATTAAAAAATAGGCAAAATAGATATTTCCCTTGAAATATGATACCTGAAATTTTTTACAGTTACAGTATTTCTTGCAAGGAAGAGAAAAAGGAAAGAACTGTTTGGTTATGTCACTTGGCTCTACCCTAACATAACTTAATGAATGGCTAGGGATAAATATTTTCCTGTTTAATGTGAATGTATACTCAGTATTATTTTTTAAATGTATTAATTATATTTTATGCTGCTTGAGAATTTAATGAATGATTATAGCCTTTTTTATATGATCCGAAAATCAGTTTATCGTGGTTTAAAATTTAATCTTTTTTAAAGCGTGCTGTATGTTTTAGGTTTAATTTTTCCTGAATTTAGTATCTTTTATAAAACTATAAAAAGAATTTTCTCCCTCTTTTCTATATTTAGGTTATACATATGACTCTGCTTAGTAGATTGGAAGCACGCAAAAATCAAAGACATCAAAGAGAAGTCACTGTTAGAGGATGGGACACAAGTGTTCAAGATTATCAAGAGACAGAGATTCAGAGAGACAGAGCCAATATGATGAAATCTATTCATCAGAGTAGTGTTTTAGATTCATCTGGTGAATTTCATATTATAAATTATCTCATAACTGGAGAATTAATCAAAAATAATTATCACTTGAAACAAGACCTTACTTTAGCTACACAAACAACAATAAATGGTCTTCATAATCTTGATTTGCTTGCATCTTCATGGCAAGGAGTAATTTCTGTAGCTGTTTTTAGTTTGACAGAAGATGTTCCTTTAGCAGTAGAAACCATTCTTCATCTAAGGCGTTGCTATCAAAATATTCGTTACAACACAAGCTTTCATCTGGTGTACCCTTTAAATGGTCCTACAAATAATGCATTGCCTTCCTCATATCCTAATGTTAATTCATGTGACTTTTTAGTAAATAATTTACAGAAACTTAATGTTGGAAAGAACTATGCACTGGGCGTTGCTTATCCAAACAATTTGTTACGGAATGTTGCAAGGAGAAGTGCACTTACTGAGTTTGTGTTTATGATTGATATTGACATGGTGCCAAGTGAAAACTTACATAATGATTTCTTACAGTTTTCAAAAGAAAAAAAGCTTTTTTCAGAGACAAATAAAGATGATAAGACTGTGTATGTTGTTCCTGCTTTTGAAGTAAAAGAAGATGCAACAATTCCAAGAACTAAATCAAGCTTACTTCAACAAGTTGAGGCAATGGAAGCAAGGCCATTTTATTTTGAGCTTTGTTGGAAATGTCAAAGACACACAGATTATGAAGCTTGGCAAAGAGAACCACCATCAAAGAAACTTGATGTTCTTTTTGAAGTTCTGTGGAGAGATCCTTGGGAACCATTTTATATTGGACGAAATAACGTTCCATTATACGATGAAAGATTTCGACAGTATGGATTTAATCGAATTAGTCAAGTAAATATAAATGTTTTTATGCTTAGTAAAATATTATATATATGTATCAGAGCTTTTCTTTTATTTTGTAATATTATTTCCCTTGTGTAATTTTTAGTAAAGCAGTTTCAGAACGAAATTTCATTAGTGCTTAACTGAATTCTACAAAAGCTTATATATATGATAATTCACATAAGTTATAATACTGTTTGTAGTCATTATTTTGGTTGTTATTTGACAGGTAATTTATGTTGGCTAAATTGGATTGTGTAATTGTAGGTCAGTATGGTTTCTCAAAAAAAAAAAAAAAAAAAAAAAAGGGGAAGATCCTACCCATGAAATTAAATATCTGAACACTGGTAGTTTGATTTGAGTTTAAATGCCTCTGAATGAGGTTGCTGCATGAGAGTTTTTGTGGCTTTAACCATATATAACATAAATACGAGCCAATTTTCCTTAGAAAGTGTTTAACAAAGATAACTCTTCCTTTAGTCATATAACCCTAATATGTTCTTCACATTGTTTAAAAATTCAATCCCTTTTCATTTTAAAAATGAATAAGGTTTGCAAGCTAAAGACTGGCTGCTTCATCTGTTTACAATAATGAACTTAAATGAGCCTTCCTGATACCTCCCCCCCTGCCCAAAAAGCATTAAGCAATCATTATTTAACTTACATAATAATAATTTAATGTTTTAATGATATGTATATTGTATTTTTTTTTAACTGGTAACAAATTTTGCTAGGTTTTAGTTAAGGAAGCTTTAGGTAAAAAGTTCAGATCTTATACAGCTGTCAGTAATTTCACGTTTTCAGATTTCATTTAACTGGTTTAATTTTTCTTAAGAACACTAATATATGACTTGCCAAAAATTTTCTAACTATGCTTGGGGAGGAGGAAATGTCTACAGGTTGAAAGATAGATGGCTCCATCTTTTAAAAAATTGACAGCAGTCGTAAAAATTTTATTGTCATTATATTTGCATTCATAAGTAATATTTCCCATTCCCCTTATTTCTTACAATTTATCAATATCTTACAATTACAAATTATAGATACAAATGAATACAAGCGAAGACAAATTATTGATTTATTGGTATTAATTAAGACACAATAACACGCCGAATAAATACTAATTCAGAAGTCAAACAACAAAAATCAGCGTTATACCTACAAAATTTTCACAGGACTAGTTTCGATGGTTTTACTGAACCATCATCTTCAGCTGCAAAACCGCAAATGAACAAGATAGGAAATAATGATTAGATAAGATAAGAAAGCCTGGACAAGAATAAGCAAGTGGCGCCATCTGTTGGCGAAACCAGAACTAAAACATAATTTCTCTAAAAGCCGAAGGCAAATTTGGATTGGAATTAGGATCGTTAACTAGAACAGAAAGATTTTTATGAATGTGAAATGCCTCTAGAAAATCCAGTTCTCCAATGGAAGATGTTTTTTGAATAATTTTGGCAGCAGAAAAATTGAAAGTGTGATTTTCAGACCAACAATGTTGAGCAACAGAAGACTTCTGTGTTTCCTTTTTTCTAACATATGCCTCATGTTCTTTGACGCGAAATTTTAAGGCTCTCTTAGTTTGGCCAATGTAAATTAAACCACACTGGCAAGGAATCCTATAAATACCCCAGGAATTCATATCCGGAATGGGGTCCTTGAGTATAATGGAAACATAATTTATTTTGGAAACATCCAAAATAAAAACTGCGATCAAATCTTCGCAAATCATTTCAAGCAACTAAAACATTCGCTTATCCCATCTGTTGCGAATTGTGCCAGATTATATGCTCTTCCCAAAATTCATAAAAGTGGTATTCCTTTCTGCCCTATTGTATCAAATTTAGGTACTGCCTCGTATCCTTTAGCTAAATATTTAGTTTCTAGATTTTCCACTCTATTTAGACAATAACATTTACACCATAAAAAATTCAATAGAGTTTGTAAAAAAGGTTAAAAACATTTCTCCTAGTAATTTACTCATGGTTTCTTTTGATGTAAAATCATTATTCACCAATGTCCCAGTGGAGGGTGCATTAAGATGTCTAGAAACCAGACTTCGCGAATTTCATTTCTCTTGCATCGAAATTGAGGAGCTAATTTCTCTCACTCAACTCTGTTTGAAACAAACACATTTTGTTTTCCAAAATAAATATTACAAACAAACTGAGGGATTAGCCATTTGAAGCCCCCTCAGTCCCATCCTGGCTGATATCTACATGCATTATTATGAATCAAAATTGTTTGAAACTTTAAACTTCCCGGCATGGTTCCGCTACGTAGACAATACTTTTACCCTGTTTGAAGGTAATAAAGATGATTTAAATAAAGTTCTTTCAACAATGAATTCTATTGATCCTGCTATTCAGTTCACTTTTGAACTTGAGACTTGCAATTCTCTTCCGTTTCTCGACATTCTGGTCACACGTAACAACTTCAGTACTACAGTTTACCGTATAAACCTTCATCGGTTTGCCTTCCACCACACTTTAAATCATGTCATCCGACTAAACAAAAGTTAGCTTCATTTTATTCCTATGTTTTCCGTGCTCTTCAAGTTTGTTCCTCCAAATTAGCCCTTGATGAAGAACTAAATTATTTAAAAGCAATAGCTATTGACAGGGGCTTTTCACCCAACATTATTAATCAAGCAGTTAAAAAATTCTCATCTGAACACACTAAAAGCCACACTCTTTATTTAGGAGATTAAAAAAATTCTGTTGTCATTCCCTTCTTTCCATCAATTAGCTATAAAGTTTGCACATATTTTGCAGAAATTTAACTTTCGGGTTGTTTATTCTCCCATCAATAAAATTCCAACTTCTATACTCAAGGACCCCATTCCGGATATGAATTCCTGGGGATATTTATAGGATTCCTTGCCAGTGTGGTTTAATTTACATTGGCCCAAACAAAGAGAGCCTTAAAATTTCGCGTCAAAGAACATGAGGCATATGTTAGAAAAAAGGAAACACAGAAGTCTTCTGTTGCTCAACATTGTTGGTCCGAAAATCACACTTTCAATTTTTCTGCTGCCAAAATTATTCAAAAAACATCTTCCATTGGAGAACTGGATTTTCTAGAGGCATTTCACATTCATAAAAATCTTTCTGTTCTAGTTAACGATCCTAATTCCAATCCAAATTTGCCTTCGGCTTTTAGAGAAATTATGTTTTAGTTCTGGTTTCGCCAACAGATGGCGCCACTTGCTTATTCTTGTCCAGGCTTTCTTATCTTATCTAATCATTATTTCTTATCTTGTTCATTTGCGGTTTTGCAGCTGAAGATGATGGTTCGGTAAAACCATCGAAACTAGTCCTGTGAAAATTTTGTAGGTATAACGCTGATTTTTGTTGTTTGACTTCTGAATTAGTATTGGTATTGCTTTAATATGCATATGCTGGTATGAATTTAATCTAAATTTTAATTCTGTATGTAGAACTTGGTAAATAATGGAAAAGAAAGGTGAAATTAATTTTCATTTTAGCTTCTAGAAAAAAAGTTTCTTTCTCAAGAAGCTAAAAGGGAAAATTAATTGCATTCTGATTGGTATATTTTCTCCTCGTACAAATTCTTCTTTTCAAAATATTTTGAGCATCAGAAAATAAAATTATCGCAAGAAAATTTTCTAAAAAAAAAAAAATTGTTTTTGCATATTTTCCCATCGGTTGTGAAACGTCGTCAAGTGGTGCAATTTAGTGCCAATTATGGATAAGCATATTATGATGTTACAACACACTCATAACATCTGCACTTTCATTTAATGTAACCCTGATTGATTGAAAGAAAGAAAAGAATCTGAGGATTGTAGAATTGCATTTGTGACGGAACTGCTGCTCATTTGCAGCTGGTTGAAATAATGAACATCCATTGAAAGGGGAAAAAACAACTAGATATGGCTGACTAAACTGTAATAGAATGGAACAATGACCCGTGGGAAATTTGTTATAGCATTTACAAATTTGTTATAACAATCTAAACAGAGCTTTTGGCTGATAAAATTAAAGGGCCTAATAAAATAACAGAAATCAATGAAAGGCTTTTTGTGTAGAGCAAAAATGAAATGGGTCGAATACTTCTGCAGCATTGGCATTTGATGGATTATTCAGAGATACTGATGATGTTTTTTGCAAGAACTGCTGGTAGAAGTACTGCTGAAAATTCCACTTGAATGGCTGGTGCAACTTAGTTACATAAATTATGCTAAATTACATAATTTAATAGGAGCCAGCGTTCACAGTTAATGGGATAAAATGTAAGTACAAAAAAAAAAAAAAAAAAAAAAAAAAAAAAAAAAAGTTTCTGTGAATTAAAAAAAAGAGGTGTTTTGGTGTAAATTGTATGCAAAATGATTTAATGTTACTTGAAGGAATGGAATAAACTGCAAAAACTGTTTTTCTTATTGTCAGAATATTTTCTTGCAGAATCTTTACAGTTAATGTTACAAAAAACGTTTGTTGTCATGCTTAAAAATTTTAACTGTCAAGCCTTTTTTATATGTTACCAATGTTTTTCATAATCAATAATTTAATCTATTTATATATTTTTCAACTTCACTGAGATTACTAAATTGGTGACTTTTTAATTCATTGTTAGTATTGGTATTTGCAAGCTTATCATCCACATTTGGACAATTATTGCTTGTACCTGGCTAATACATGAGTATTTAAAGTACAAGGCTGTCTATTAAAATTATAACTTCAATCAAAGAAGCAACTTAACCATGTTAGGACATGATAGAAGAAACAGATTTGCAAGCTTGCATGGTGCAGTTAAGCAGGTATGACGAGTTAATGATCAGCATTGCAGCATATTTCCACATCATGGGCACCAATAACATCATCTGACAGCAATAAAAAAGAATGAAATGGAGCTTTTCATATGTGATTCATATTTGCTTGTTGTTTATTGCATAGGAGGTGTAAGTATGCCTCATGTCAGAGGATTGAACTCAATGCACTCCTTGTTTAAATTTGACCACATGACATTTCCAGTATAGAGTGATATGGATTATTTTAGCTGAAACTGTTTCTTTTCTTGGGACAAATTTGATTTCTGTTTTATAAATGTGGAATCACAAGACAATGATTGGATTAGAATGATTGGCATGGAGACAATGATTGGCATGGAGGAATTATTAGGAAGGATCACTACGATCACTACTCACAAATGCTTTGCTGATGATTGGATTAGGAGGTCTGGAGGAATTGTTAAGAAGGGTCACTACAATCACTACTCGCAAATGCTTTACTGATATTAATATATAAGATATGCTGAGTGCATGATACTTTTAAATCACAAACCACATTACAGATTTGTATATTTTTATCATTTAGAATGTGACAAATAAATGAATCAGTATGCGTAGCAATATGATGGACTGCTTTCATTGCAGCTTTTGGTTCACAAATCTTCATCTGTAATACAGAGTGTCTGTGGATATAGGGGTGCACTAAATGATGCACTTAAACTCCTGAATAGCATGGTCTTATATTTAGATAAATCTTGTTTCTGGATGCTGCATTATTTGTGAAAATTGATTGTAAAAGACTTGCATTATGCATTGTCATAGTGGTCCAACAACCTTGAAATCAACTAGCATATTAGAGTTTGTGGTTGTCCTGCATTCTGGCATTACTTGCTAGTGGGATCACTTATGACTGCATGGTTTATGCAACATCTGACATTTTTTTATAGGCAGCATGTTTATCAGATTTTTCATTGATTGAACATGTCTGGACCTTGATTGAGCGATTAGCATGATAGAAACAAGCAACTACAATTGGCTGATATATTTGAACTCTGGCAATGAACTGAAGGCCTGTAGACTAATACTTTAAGCTTACATCCATAACCTACTCTAGTTCTATACATAGCCATATCGCAGCAATTATTGTTCGCATGTTTCAAGGAAATTCAATCTAACCAAATGAAATAGGTGCATAATTAAACAAATTTATTCTTTTTAACAAATCTAGCATTGATAGATCTTTATTAAGCAGAATGAGAGGAAATGTAAACAATATAGAATATGTTTCTACTGATGTTAATAATGTGAGTGATGATAAGAGTGAAAATGATGCAGATAATTTTATTGTGTGCTGTACACATACTGAAAATTACAAGGGTCACTCTGAAATTTTGGTTTATAAATAGGTTTTTAAATTTATACTTATGTAGTTTTAGGTTCAAAGTATCCTCCTGCAGCATCAATGCACATCTGTAAGCGATTTTCCCGAAGATTGTATGCCTCAAACTATTTCTTGGAATTGACAAAAATAATGCATTTATAGCCTCATTAATCTCATCTTCAGAATGAAAATGATGTCCATGTAAGGTCTTATTTTAGATAAGAAAAAAAGTAGTCAAAAACTCACACACAACTAGGTCAGGTGAATATGGTGGATGTTTTACCAGTTCGTTGTATTTTTGTTGAAGAAACTCAACTGTTAACCTTGCTGAATGAGAAGATGCTTTGTCTTGGTGGAGCATGAGTTCCCTAACATTTACTTCTTGAAGAATTTCTGGAAGACACTTAGTGGTGTATCAGTTAGCTGTGACTGTTTTCATTCCTTCCATCTTAATCGCTTTGACCAATCTTGTATTTATGAGGAAAACGACATACATTACATTTTTCATGGTACATTGTCAAAAGACAACGTAGGTGTGGGGATCATCTTAAAAGACCCATACTTTTTTTTCTTTCTTGATGTGTTGGAATGCCAAAACATGACATACACGTTTCATCATGGTAACAATTTTAGAAATAATGCAGTGGCCACCATCTTTAAGTAATTTAAGGGTTTCTTTATTGATTCTGACATGCTCCTCTTTTTGGTGCTCAGTTGAAGTATGGAGAACCCAATGGAAAACTATTTTTTTTTCATTTGCAATACTTCACGAATAATTTTATGTATGGTGGCGGATCCAATGTTATGTTTCTTCTGTATCATGTGGTAAAGGTAGCGATTATCATTGATAAGATTTTTCGTAGACACATTATCTGGGATTACTGCTGACAGTGGCCTTCCTGTGTATTCTTCATCCTGAAGAGAGTTTTGACTTCTGTGAAATTCTGTGAACTTTTTGATTAGAGTAGCATGAGATGGACCTTCATTCCCAAATGCTAATTATAGACCTTGAACACATTCTTCTTGATGTAATCCCACTTTAAAGTCATAGATAGTGTGATAATGTTCTCGCATCAACTCCATTTTTCTTCCTGCCTAAAATTTGTTCTTTGAACTAGACTTGCAATTGGCCAATAAAAATTGCCTGCTAGGCTAAAATAGTTCATATTTTCAAATCTAACCATTAATTTTTTTTTTTGCCACTAAACGTTTACACATATCTCAAAAATTTCAGAGTGATCTCTGTATCAATCAAAAATTTACAAACTCAAAATAACTATGGCAAAGTGTTTTCAAAAGATATTAAAAAATGCTTAAGACTTGATAGCTGACTGTAATGATGAAATATAGAGCAATTTGTTTTGTACAGTATTTTTATATTTTTATACTATAAGTATAATTATGCTCTACAAGAGAGAAAAAGGGTTATTATGGTAACTGAAAATACCATTTTATTCATAGATACAGTACCAAGAAGTAATCTTTTATTTTATAGGCTTAGCACCATATATATACAATTTAATTGTTGTTAATTGATGGTATATTGGTTTATTCCCTTGGTAAGTCGATTAATCTATGATCAACGACAATAGCTACTTTTTCAATATTAAAAATATCTTTTACACTTGATTTTGGTATTTTTGCAATTAAGAATTTTTCTATACAGATTTTTATGTTTTCAAAGCAAAAAAGATTTTGAAAATACTAATTAAAAATAATAATTAAAATACTGACTAAAATTTTTTGGAGGTTTTAATTGAATTTCTATTCCCTGGAGATGGTATATGAAAAGTTTTCTAATTATAAATTATTGTTTTATATATATGTATGTATATAAAATATATATATAAAAAAAAACATAACGATGGCTTTGCTCTATGCGAACAGACAACCTCTAATTAACTTTCCGCAATTTCAGGGTCTTCCCCCAGATCAGTACTTTCAAGAACATTCTGGCATGTTATGTAATCGCTATTATAAATGTAGAGTTCGCACCATTTTTCATCAGATTGCTTTTGTCCTCCTGCCACTATACTATAAGACCCTTGCTGCCGCTCTTCCTGTCTTTCTTTGTTTGAATGTATAGTATGACACAGTAAATTTAAAGTTAATCCTATTTAGTCTAAATTATTATTGTGTATGTAATCTTGGAGAATCTAAAAGAATAATGATTTACCATTTGAATTGAGTAAAGGTGTGGAATCAAAACAGCTAACTTCTTCTGTGTCATCATTTCAGGCCACCAGTGGCTGAATAGTAATTTCGCTTAACAGTGGTAGTTTGGCCAGGGCCTCTAATACAGGGCTGACTGCATGGTCATTTTTGTGGTTTCCCCAGGTGTAACGTGTATTCAAGCCAGTTTCCCTCAGAAAATCCTTTACAGAGACATCCTTCTCTTTAGGCAGAGAGCCCTTGAGTGCTTTGCCATAATTAAAATAAACCAAACCAAACCAAACCATACATATGTACTCTTTCTCTCTATATATATGTACATAGTTATCCCCTTAACTTTGCTCAAAGACAGGGTCATTGTGAAACCTTTTATAAGCTGTTGTGGCAGAAAAACCAAGAAGCAGGTACCATTAATTTATGTGAAGAGGCTTTGAGTATTCTCAGTTCTTATAAAGAAAAATTAACTGTCAAGCAGTAATTGTAATTGTTAGAAAAATTGTATCCAGGTAAAAAAAAGGGCAATGATAGTTACATTCACCATCTAAATATCATAAATGTAGCTTCAACTTGCATGTGATCAACTTAGGAAACCAAAATGACAGCAAGCACATTGGGAAAGCTTTTATGCGGTGGAAGTGAGAATGGTATTTGAGCCATCATTGATTCAGAATTGAAAGATAAAAAGCTTGTGGTGAAAAGAGAAGGGATAGAGATAATCTGTTTTGTTATTGTAAATTGTTTCTGCCAGAATTCATGTGTTAATGTTTGTAGTGCAGTTTTTCTCTGGAAAGAATTTCATGTTAATTTTTGATTCATGATGGCATATTTTGTTAAATAAGTTACAAGATGTATAATATATGTATTTAATAATTTGTGGAATGCATTTGTTTAATTTTTTGTAAAAGCCATTGAACAGTTTAAGCTTTGCAATAAATATTTGTATTTATTTCAGGTATGTGAGCTCCACGTTGCAGGTTATAAATTCTCTGTCTTAAATAATGCTTTTGTAGTTCATCGTGGTCTTAAAACTCCTCGTTCTTTTCACAAAGATAAAGATGTTGACCAAGAAAGAAATCGTATTTTATTTCGACAATTTAAAGTGGAACTGAAAGAAAAATATCCCGATTCTTCTCGGAAATGTTACTGAGTGATATTTTTAAAATTATGGTTCCATGCGAAAAGGTAAATTTTATTTTTATTTCCTTTTAAATATATCTTATTGGCAAATATGCATAATATTTCTTTTTCACTGATTAGTATTTGTAACACTTTTGCGAAATAATGCTATATTGTGTTTTTCATTTAAAGTTATTTTTTTTTGCTTGAAATCGCCACAGTCTTGTATGTATAGCAAAACATTTACATAACATATTAAGATAATTTATCCCAAATTTTTAAAACTTATTTACTTAGATGTACTTCAGAGTGTGGTGTATTGAACTTTTTCTAAGATATCACCTGTAGTTCCAGGTGATTTTGTTCATCTGTGGAAATAGTCATCTTACAGGGATAGTCATCATACAGGGATGATATTCTATTTTCAGAAATACTGGCCACTTATGGAAGTTGTTGTTTTAGGTACATGGTCACTCTGAGAAGGTTCATTATGTTTGATTCACTTACTTGCATTTAACTACTATCTAGGAGTGAATTTTCCATTAATTGTATTGCCAAAATAAAATGGAAAAAAAAAAATAACAAAAGATTTAGAAATAAGATTACAAATTGTTATATTAACTCTTTCGCATCGTTTGAGGGCAAAATCTCAATTCCCCAAACATCGAAAACGCCCGTATCTAAGAATTTCTCCTGGAATGCTTTTCATTCCCCCATGACAAGTTGAATACTACAGCGCTAACAATAGCCTTACTTAAGTAAAGCGAGAACTTCTTTCTTCGACGCTTTGACACTGTGTGAAGTTCCCCCTTGGGACGGGATTGCAACTTTGGGCATCAAAAGCTAAACACTGACAGTAAACAAAGGAAAGGAAGGAACAAAGGAAACAAGGAAGCTACTTTTAGTAGCTTCAAAAGAATGATTGACATGTGATTTAACAACACCTGAAAGCAATGAGTAATGCAGTAACGTGATGGGGGAAAGCACTGGGTAGGAAATTATTCAGGCGTTTCGGGTGTCCTACCGATGTCTGAATGCTAAGGCGTTTGGGGCGACTTCGATGCGAAAGGGTTAAACAGTGACTTTTTTTCTTATGGCTTAATTGCCAGTTTCAAGGAAGAGTGTGGGTTGAGATGGTTTTCATTTTCTGTCCACGTGTGTTTTTCAAAGGATTCAAACAACCACGTGTTTCTTGTGTGGTGATGGTCATCTTAGAATGATGATCACTCTTCGTGTTTACTTATGATCTTCAAGATGCTGTTCATTTTCAGAAGTCTTATAAGAATGTTTTCTATATATCGTTGTGCAGAAGACACTGATGCAGTATGGGAAAGAGTGTTGGAGTTATAAATGTAAAATTTATTAAGATATATTATTTAAAGATATAGTCTAAATAAAATACCTATGCAGTTTGAAGTAGCAGTGTAGGTGTTTTCTTGCTTGTATATATATATATATATATTAGCTTTATGTAAGAATAAGTAGTTTAAACAGCTGTCTAAAGAGCAGAAGGCAGTTGTTACAACTTAGTAAAAATTGAGCACAATTGTTAAGTTAGAAAAAGGAGAGTCTCTTCACAAATTGACTCATTAGCCTTGAAACCGAACATGATTTTAAAAAAATGTTGTAACACTTAAGCAAACAGTATTAACCCTTTGACGCGCGGTGGTCGCGCCCTGAAACCACCAATTTTCGAATTTTTTTTTCTCCTCTTCCTTGCGAAATTTTGAGTGAAAATCAATTGATTACTGATCTACTCTAAATAACACAAAATGACTACAGAATCATACATGTTTTAGGTCTTAGTACTTCAAATCGGATGTCTTTTAAAATTCGTTTTCAATGAGACAAAATAACTTCCTTTTATTAATATAAACAACTTTAAATTTCAAAAGTTATTCATTGCACATCATGATTTCTATCATAAACAATAAGAAATAGCAAAAATTAAACTGCATATATAAAAAAAAAACCTCTATATGTATGGCATTTGCTTTGTGGTTTCAGGGCGCGACCACTGCCCCACTAGAGCATTGTGTCACAATGCTCTAGAGGCACAGTGGTCGCGCCTTGAAATCACTGCTCTTCACAATGGTGTTTGCTTGCTTCTCAAATAGGAATGTTTATTTTTATCCGGATATAGATAAAGGGTTTTGAAATCACAGAGTTATTTTATTACTAAACAATAGATGCACCTGCCCAGTAAAAAGGTCTTTCTTTCCAGAGACTTTTTTCTAACCTCAACACACTTGCTCCCCAAGCTAATATTGTGATTTTAAAAATTATTTCCTGTGGTTTAAATTTAAAGTAAATATACTTTGCTGTAATTAAAAATAGAAATCGTGTAAAGTTTTATTTAAATGAAAAATATTTTCTAAATATTTTGAGATGAAATACGAATAAAATAAGTATGAATGGGAAACGAATGATCCGTACCAAAGCGAAAAAGACCAAGCCCTCCCCCATTAACATAAAAAAACCAGAAATTCCATGTGCCAGATGAAAGGAAACTAAATAATGCTGGACATATACCAGTGAAATTTAGATCCAATCAGTGTACATTTTGTAGCACAAGGAAGAAACATCATAGAAGAAGACACACGAGCGAAACGTACAATGTGGGTCTATGCATGTACCAAAAAGACAAAAGATGCTTTCAACAGTGTCACAAAGAATATTTTTTCTTTGAAATAATAATAAAAAAAAAACACTGAGTCTTTTTTTTATCCTTATTTTACTGAGTGTTTTAATCCATGTAGCCAAACGTCCTTATTATGTAGGTACTTATACTTTCACTGCGATAGAAAAATTACATAAACGTTTATTTTTTAATTTTTTCTGGTGATTTGGTTTGTAAAATAATGTAAAAAATATATATATTATGCAATTCTGACATGCATTTTTTTTAATTCGTAAATTTCGTCATTTATTGGAAACGCGCACGGAAAAGGCAAGTTTTTTTTCCCTACTACCTAGGTAAGTTTCAAAGTCCTAGACGCGCGGTGGTTTCACACTGCGACCACCACCCACAAAACAATGGGCAAGAGTAGATTTTTTTATTTCATATATTATTTGTCTCTAGGACCATAATATTCAGTTTCTAGAGTTAGTTAAAAAAATTATAAAAATAATATCGTGCGCGTCAAAGGGTTAAGCAACAGTAACAATGAAGCAAAAATTGAGCACTATTGAAGTTAGAAAAAGGAGAATCTTTTCAGAGATTGACTGATTCATTAGCCTTGAAACAACATGACTTTAAAAAATGTCTACCCCCCCCTGCAGCATGCAGCATTGGAGAGATGTTAGGCATAAGAAAGCATAGAAAAGAGGATGTTTTTTCTTGCTTGCATAATTTAGTCAATCTTATTGCTTGCATGATTCAAACATATTTTTCTTTTGATGCTTGCATGTTTTATTGAGTAAATCTAAAATTTAAATTGTGAGAAGTTATTCTCATTCAGGATTCCTGCATGGAAAAAGCATTTTTTCCAATCAGGGCTTTAGCTGCTGAGAATTCATTTAATGCATTTTCATTGTGGATGCTTCATGTGAGAGGTTGCAAAAATCTGTAGGCATTTAAATGTTATTTTAATTAAACTCTGCTTTAAATAGTATGTTGTGTGTCATTTTCATAAAATTCCTAAGAAGTTGTTTTTTTTTATATAGATGTAATGTTACCGTAATCCTTTTAATTTATTAATATTGCCTTATGCCGTTTTTGGCCTTATTTCTTTTCCTGTTTCATGCATACTAGTGGATTAATTATGATAAATAATCAGGAGATTAGTTTATAATGTAAAATCGAGGCAGCAAATAACAGCTCTCTCTCTGTATCTCTCTGTATGCGTATACATATGTATCTGAATATTAAATTATAGTATCGTGAAGTGTAATATTCGTAATATATAAATACTTACTAAATAATTTCAAGTAGTAAATATTACTGAAATTTAAAAGTTATGTATACTATAGTCTAACCTTTAAATTCTTAAGAAATGTTATTTTTAGAATATTGAAGCATGGGAGGTGTGAAAACTTTCTGTTTCATATTTTAATGGAATTATTAAATTTTATATTTATCTTTTTAGGGTTAATAACTCTGGTGACTTCAGAAAATTTTTGGGAAATGAAATCATACCATGCATATGCATCATATTCATTGCAAACAGATAGATACATGTATATCACTGAAAATTATAGATTATGATATAACTTTGTTTTGTTGTTATATTGGTAATATTTTGTTACATCTTTAATGGTAAGTGTTTTAATCTTGGCTAAATATTATGTCTTGCAAATGTATGTTTATACAGCTATTATTTTAAGTTATATTTATGTGAGAATGGCAGATATCTGTCGCTGTTAAGAACTGCAAACCTTAAAATAATTGTTCATTAGTTGTATGAATGAAATTTTTATTACATGTGTATTTAATATTTTTTATATCATAATTGGACTAAATGTAAATTTTTAGATTTGTAAATTTTTAGATTAGATAGCTTAAACAAAATGGTTTTATGTGCATGCATTTTTATGTAACAATTAACACATCATTTTATGCTAAGATCACTTTTAATGTAATTTAATTGTTTTGTTAGTTACTAATTGAAATGGGTGTTCTAAATTAAATCAGTAATGCTTATAATTAATTACATAGATTGTTTTACGGATTCTGTGTGCCCAACATAAAGTTGAGCTAACTTTCTTCTGTGATTTCTTTGTACGATTGAAAATGGACAAGAATATTGTCTTTTCAATCAAGAAATTTTGTGAGCTTATAATGTTTTTATACTGATTAGTATTTTTTGTACTTTCTGATTATTTGACCTCCAGTTTCAACTTTTGTAGAACTGCTTATTTTTGATATATTTTAAAGTACACATGTGACAATAAATAACCCATACATACATGTAGCATATACATGTCTGAGTGCATGCTAATTTACATGCTTTATAATTTATGGTCATTTCACTAAACAGTGTCCACTGTAGATAAAAATATTAATCTTTACATTTTTCCCCTCACAAAACTCTCTGTTTCTCATAATGTTTCTGTTTATAATTATTTATGAGTAGAACAGTAAATATGTACTGCAAAAATAATCAAACAAATATTTTTCATCTGTTTACAAAATCACTGATGAGTTGTCAGTGGGTTGCTGATTATCAGAAAGTACTGTATTTTCTTGAAAATATTAATAGTTTTACTGCTAATTAGTGAAACTGTTTAGCAGTGAAACTAACTAGTTAATAAAATTAATTTGTGAGAAAATTTCAATTATTAGCAGTAGTGATATTTTCTTGCAAATGCTAGTTAGGTTATTAAAATACATAGGACTTACAGATAGAGCTTATGAAAAAAGTAATGGTGACAGCTGATCTGATTTAATAAATTCTGCTTTGAATTTAAAGCATAAATGTGATTATGATTTCACATTTTCCAGTAAATTCTGAAAACCCTTTTCTTAAAAAAATATGTGCGTTATGCTTAGCAGTTAACCTATTTTAAGTATCATATTGAATACTATTTTGATATTCTTTTTATGACTTCAATTTTGAAGTAATTGTCAATGGAAAAATTTGATATTCTATTAGAAAAATAACTACTTCATAGAATGAATATGAATAGCCTTGATTAAAATCTAAGGATTACTTTGAATGATTCATGAATTTCCAATTCCTGAACCATAAATACTATATATGACCTGTACAATCTTTTGCAAATTGGTATAAAAGTATAGGTACTTACATAGTAATGCAACCACCATGGTGCAGTTTCATAATTTTTTACCAAAGAAAAAGAATGATGACTTGTAATGACCAAAAAATTATTTATTATATCCATATGTGCATTATATTTTAATCTTGAAAAATTTATCGTTAACCTATGTACAAGTGGGTTTTCATTTCTTCTGTTGTAAAAATTTTGTGGCATTCACTTTAAGAACAGTTTCAAAATAATTGTTCCTTTTTGTGATTTTGAAGTAAAATACAGTATTTTCCTGCAGAAATTTTACATGTTCTTCCACTGTAGGCAAACATGTAATGTGAGTACAAGGTCAGTTCCCTTAGAAAGTCCTCCATGAAGGCATCCTTCCCCTCAGGTATTCCTTTTCAAATAACCTCCTCTGTCAACACATTCCACAAGCATGTGTTTTAAAATCAAGTTTAAGATAAAAATATAATGATTAGTTTATAAAACTAATAGGACTTGGTATACAACAACAATAATGCAAATGAAGGCAGTGTTGTTGCTTTTTAAAATAGAAGAATCGTTATGGGCATGGTTGTCCAAAAACTTTTATGCATGTGGTTACTAGGGTTTGAAACAATCTGAAAATTTGACCCTTTCTACTAAGGTGGTTGCACTAATACAAAACTGTACCAAAACATAACTTTAGATACCTCTTCAATATACATTGAGCACCTGTGTAGTAGATATATGATGCAGCAAAATTTATAGATTAGTAATAAAACCATGCCATAATCATACTTTTGATTTATTAGTCTGTATACTGAGTAATAGAGTAATACCACTTGTTAGTAAATGGTCGGGCATGACCTTAGTCTGATGATGGCTCTACTGCAATGCACATTCTTCCAAGAAGCATTTATGTATGCACCTGTGAGTGATATCTAAGGATGCTTGCTGTAAGACTTTTTGCTTCCTTAGTTATGGAGGCCGAATGTGGATATGGACCATTGATGGTTTTTAAGATTAAGCAACCATGTGCCCAGTCAAATATACATGGATTTTTCATGACAGGCATTTTGTCTGAAATTAATCTCATTATGATGATACCTCCTTGGTTGACCTGGTCCCCTATTCTAATGTTTTTTTTTTTATTTTATATATTTATTTATTTTTTATATTTCTTTTATGGGGGATACATCAAAGACGTTTTCTGAACACATTGTGCAGTTAGCTATATTAGAATTGACGAATTATTTTGGAGGTGGCATCATCAGTATTCCTAGTGATATATGGACAATTTTCAGAGCTGTTTAGAGGACTCTCAAATGATGCAGCAGGATCATCATTTGAGAGGGGTCATATTCAAACACCGACTGATAAATGACATTTTTGTAACTATTGTTTGATTTAAAAATAATAAACGAAAAGCAGATGTTCATTTATGGCATAATTTTGTAATTAAGTGTGCTACGATTAAATATGAATGTTTTGCAGAATATATAATGATTTGGCAAAATGCCAAAAATGAATAGAGAATTCTTCTGTATTCCTCATCTTAATAATTTTAGTTTATATTATTTTCGAAGTAAAATAAAATTTGTTAGGCTTAAAGAAAATTAATTAACTTGAAGCCTGTTTTGAGGCTGCCATCTTAACTGGTACAGAAAAATTCATTTGTTTGCACTTGCGGTGTGCATTTTATTGATTTGCTTAAAAATATTTTATGATTTATGTATATTGTAATATCACAGTCTGTGAAGTTGCAGGATAAAATAATAATAAGATGACTTTTAGGTAATAAATCATAACTAGTATAAATGGTTTGCTAAATTCAAATATCTTAATTTTGCAGTTTTCAAGATTTTAGGATCTCTGAAAATGGCCTGATTTTGGGTGTATGTCTCAGGTTCTGATAGTTTGAAAATAAGTGAAATCCAAGTCTTGAGTTATTGATATCCTGAGCTCATGCTTTCTTCTAAAAGCAGCCATCATAGGTTGCTGGAATTGGCAAACATTAAGCATCAAATTTGCAACATGCAGCTTCATTAGTGGCTAGTTACTAATGGCCTAAAGCTTAAAAAACCAACAGAAAATTATTCTGTGTTAAAAGATTTTTTTTTAAAGTAATATTTTTGTGTAGAAAAGGCAAAACTGACATTTTGCAGTTAGAGATTTTAATAGTTGGTTAATTGGTAAATATATGCAGAAATTTTAACATTTTGTTAGTATAGTGTTTAAAATTGAATTAAGATGATTCTTTGATATAATAATAATCCTGATTTTTAAAAGTAAATTCCAGTAATCTTGGTAATTGCCAAGATGCGGACTGCATTGTGAGGTAATAAATTTTGGTTTATGCTGATATTATACCAATAATTTACATGCATATGAAGCACCATTTTAGATGTAAAATATTAATAAAAAAGTTTAGGTAAAGGAAAAAATGATTTTTTTTATATTGAGTTTTTTGTGTTTTTCAGTTTTTTTTTTCTTTGTCCATGATCTTAGCATGTAATATTTATAAAAATTGCAGTTAATTATTTAGTATGTAGCCTTTATATGCATTTGAAAAAAATATTAACTATATGTGAAAATAATCTAGAGTCCATTACCCTACCTAAGCATGTTGGTGATCGTTGGTTGATGACCTAGTTGGGTGATCGTGAAGGTTGGATGATACGGAAAGTAATAAACGTGGCATTTAAAACTGAAGAAATACATTCATTATTTCAAAAATTACATACTGGTAACTTGAGCAGATTATGAATTTATACTGTGTGTACCATAAAGAATTATAAAGAACAATCAGATGTGATGACAAAAGCTGGTAATTGGCATTTGTTTGCTTGCTGTTTGATGTCCTCTTCTAGCTAGATCTCACAATCTCTGCAGAAGTAAAACATCTTGGTTAATGAATTTTCTTCCAGCTGCTCCATATATTCCAATGCTACCTCCAAGGCAATTTGTGTCTTTTGGTGTGAGAAATTCTATCCTTGCTTTCAGCCATCACTACTATATTTTCATTACATCCTGTATCTTTCTCGTTTAGCATCATAATAACAATTTCTTTGTCTGCCTGTATATTTCTTATCTTGGAGGGGGGGGACATTCATTCAAGTCCTGAACTGTTACTTTCACATTCAGGTACTTTGTTAGAATAGACAACGATGTCTCGTCTTGATTAGGTCAACATTTCCTGGTCAGCATCTCTCAAGGTCAACATTTTCTGGAAATTCTTCTTCTTAGTCCTCACCTTCACTTGACAAAGTTTTCCAAGATCTTTGCGATTGTTAAGCTGACACTTTCCCCACTATTAAGCTATGTAATAGGCAATGTCCTTTAAGTTCAAACTTCTCAAACTCTTGATCATATCTTCTCCTTAATAAATAGAATCAATAAAAGTTGACAAAGTTTTTCCAATAATTTCTTTTTAAAGTCTTCAAAACCCCTTGATCCATGGGCTGACAAATTGTCAAAACATTTGGATGTAAAAATGGCCTTTATTTCTCTACTTTGAAGTACTTCATTTGAGAAAGAGTGTTATTTCAAAAGCAATAGTCTTGGCAAATTTTTCTTTTTTGCAAAACGTCTCAGTCTGTGGCAGAAAGTTATTAAAAAATACCATTCTTTAAAATATCTGAACTCGCCCACGAACTTTTCTGCTTAAAATATTTGGCTAGAAGAGCATTGAAAGCTCTTGAATTGTTTGATTTTCCTATCATAATAAGTTTCATTTTAAGCTTTTTTGTGGCATTACTACAGGAAAGAATCATTATTTATTCTTTATTTCACTTGTAGCTCGGTGCTGCAGTTTCAGACTTAGCTGCGAGTGTTTTAGCAGGCAGCAGTTTGTAACTTAGTCATGTCTTGTCACATTTAAATATTTGGTCTCTAGTCAAGCTTTCTTTGTCATGCAACTTATGAAACTTATGAAAGTGAAACTTTCCACTAAATCATCATTTGCTGAAAGTTTTTTTTCTATGTGCAGTTAGCTGCTGTATGCAACATCTTTTTTTTCATATATTGAGCAATTCAACACTAGCTGTAAATGTATGGTCACTTTAATTTAATTTCTTTTATAATTCTTAGGCCTTTTTATTGTACGATTAGTCCAGTTATTGGAACACTTTTATCTCTGAGTTCATTCAGTAAATCAAAGAAACAAAGCTTTGCTAACATTTTCATACTCATATTTTTTTATTGTTTTTCTTTGTTCCGTAGTGTTAGCTGTCACTTGCTTGGAACATCGCTTTTCTCTTTCTTTCTGATTCCTTTTCTGTTCTCCTACGTTATTTTTGTTATGTTTTAATCATATGCCACTTTTGTTAAGGTTGTACCTTTATTAATCTCTTCTTTTTCTTTCAGAAAAGCTTTCAGTTTTTCTTTCAAAGAAACATACACTTTTTTTCCTCTTTGAAGCCATCATAATGCACCTCTGAACAGTACGTAAATACAAGGTAGAAATATTTTATTGTAAACCGGACATTGTCACAGGAATACAGAACAACCTAAATGCCAATTCATCAGCAGTGCAATTTAGTACTGAAACGGACACCTTGAGCAGGTACACACTACTGATTGCAGTGTAGTGACTCGGAACTAATTGAATTGAGGTCAACAATGAAGCATAAATGCTACTTAGTTGCGTTTGCTCAACAGTTTGTGATCTTTTTTTTATTTTTTTGGCTGGTGACTAGACCAGATTAGCGTAGGTTGGATGACAGGGATTCTACTGTACTAATTTTATTTCAAACTCATTTTTAAGTTAAAAAGTATTTTCTACAATTACAGAGGTAAAACATATAATTGTGTTTTTAAGAGAACATTATCAGCATAAACTTAAACATTTATTACTGTTATGGCAAAAGCATAAATTATAATATTTGTGGCAAGAATATTCATCTATTATTCTTACAAATCAGTGTTAATAATATATAATACACATTTGTTTAATTTTTGAAAGTTAAATTATTTGGAAGATATTTTCCCTTAATGTTTCTGATATTTCAGTGTTAGTGATCCCAAAATGTTGTAACTATTTTCACGTTATCTTACAAAAGCAGTGCATTATTTCTTATTGCTTTAAACAGTTTAGAACAGATGTGCCTTTATGAATTAGTTGTAAAATGTACTTTTACAATTGAACTTGTAGTTCCTGTGCTATATGTCAGAATTAAAGCCATTAAACTTTTTTCAAAATTTGCCAAATATTTAAAAATGACTCATTAAATTTTTTTTTAAGCCATTTCATTCTTGGCTATATATTTAATTTTTTTTTATACCAAAGATGATTTTAAAGTTGCATTGAGTAAAAATGTGTAAGTGCAATATTACTAGTGAAAATAATCTGTTAGTCATTCATTGTTATGTCATGTTTTATTGTATTATATAATTTCATATTTTGTTCATATTGTGAAGTTCAACGTATGTTAAGTTTTCCATGTTTCTTTTGTATCTTTTTAAAACTATAATCTGTAGTAAATATAGAATATTGTGACAAATGTGTTCAAGTTTATAATACGACTTTTAAATGTGGGAAAAGTGCTTCTTAATGTATAATTGAAATGATCATGTTTGTGTTTTAATGTCCTTGTATGTTTATGATGACCATCGAAGAAAACTTTTCTTGGAAAGTCTTAAGATGTTATTCTAATGTTTTCAAAATGAAGGTGCAATAGGATCATTTTTGTTTCCTAAATAGCTTATTGTGTCTCTGTCTTTGTGCTTGTGATACTGAATATGATTCTACAACTATTTTCGATGTTAGCAAAAAGTATTTATAATACGTATTCCTGTGTCAAAAGTGAGAAAACAAATTTGCTATATTTCTATGTATTGTATGATCTGCCATATTTGTTATTTTAAATTCTACTTTATATGTGCATTAATATAAATATTTCTATTAGCTCTGAATGTTTGTAAATTTAAAACATTTCATACTTTAATTAATTGTAAATATGCATTTTATTCTGATATATTAACCCTTTGAATAATTGTCATATTTATATAATGTACTGAGCTGAAATGGTTATAGAAATATCTGTTAAATGTTAACTGTGTATGAAGATTTTGTAAAAAATGGAGCTTATGCTCTGAAGTATTTTGAAGAAACTTATGATGTAATATTTAACTGAACATCTTTTGGGCATTAGAAGGATATATATAAAGAAGCAGTCATATACAGCAGAGCCCCACCTAATTGAGATTGAACTATTTCGAATAAGACTTTGTTTCGAATAACCCATAGTAACTATTTTCATTAATTTAAGGTAGAAATAAATATGTATAGCACTGTTGAGCAAAAGCATATATTACTTTGCATTAATACTTTTACATTATAAAATATTTGCATATCTATTTCATTTAAACTGGATAAGAGCCTTTTTTTTTAGTTTTTATGAACAGTGTTGTTGACAGCTCTGCCAAGCCAAGCAGATTAGCTACTGTAGTTTTGCGGGTTTTTTTTTTTTTTTTTTTTTAGACTTTTTTTTTTTTTTTAAATGTAAAGCAAATAATAAAGCTGTTTCCATTGTTATTGTAACTAATATGGTGAAATGTTTCCCATGTAGTGAATATAGACAAACTGAATGTATATTTCCAGTTTCAGAAATCATCTTTTGGACTACTATCAATATTAGTAGCTGGCCACTGGTAAATTTCTTTGCAAAAGACAAAAATTCGCTTGAGACATTCTGCTAAAAATTCTTAATAATGTATTTTAACTTAATATTCATCTTCTGATCTTTGTTACTTTATCTTAAGGATTTATTTCAAAGTTCACTGCTTCTGAATACAATATATTGAGATTACTTCTCATTGTTAAACACCATCAAAGTGTGGAAAAATTATGTTATATGTAACTTAATTTTTTTTTTTTTTTTTTTTTTTTTTTGTATGGTAATACAATGCTGTGAAGCAATAGCACATCATTATCATCATCTTAACTGTACAAAGTAATCTGAATGCTGAATTTTTTGTTTATGTTACAGCTATTGTATATTATTCAGTTTATACTCTATATTATTTCAGTTTGAAAGACATGATATCAAAAGAAATGGTAATATAACTTACTTTTGAATTACCAATACTGTTGTTAATTATTTCTTTTGGTTCGCTCATTTTTCTTAACCCATTGTGAAGTCTATTTTCTTTTCCTCCTTCTTTTTCAGATTGGGTTTGACAGGTATCAGGCAACGTATGTTAAGTTTTCCATGTTTCTTTTGTATCTTTTTAAAACTATAATCTGTAGTAAATATAGAATATTGTGACAAATGTGTTCAAGTTTATAATACGACTTTTAAATGTGGGAAAAGTGCTTCTTAATGTATAATTGAAATGATCATGTTTGTGTTTTAATGTCCTTGTATGTTTATGATGACCATCGAAGAAAACTTTTCTTGGAAAGTCTTAAGATGTTATTCTCAGGTGTAACTGAGAGCTCAGGTGTAACTCTTTACTACTGAAAATATCTAAATTATTCAAGCCAACGAGGGCAAGGGTATCACACACATATATAATATGGCTGGTTCTCATTTTGATTTTGATAGAGGCAGTCATGCTTTTAATAGCTTCTTGTCCTTCTTCAGATGTTGATTGAGTGAACTTGAGTAGAGGTCATTTGTACCTCATTCGATGAAATATTAATGTAAACATCTGTGAATTGTATTTTCTTAGATTTTTATCAGTCAGTATTTCAGTTATGTTACCATTTAAATACTGATAAGTGGTAAAGATTTTATATCCCATTAGGTGCATGACAGGCCAAAGTAGGAAATTGAAAAATTATAGCATCAGAAACATAAACATATATAAAAAGCATAAGAATATTATTTTTAGCAGACAAATCAAAAAAAAAAAAAAAAAAAAAAAAAAACCAGATGTAAGCAATCCAATGAATAAAAAAAAATGAAAGCACATATACATTTTAAAACCAGTTCCGGTTAAAGATTAAAAAAAAGCTTATAGCATAAAAATCATAAATAAGCAAAAAAGCTTAAAAATGTAATAATAATTTTGAATTTAAGGGCACCAAGTCCTCCCTTCTCTTTTTTTTTGTGCCTTCCAAATACATATTTATGTGACATTAGCTCTGAATAGCAGATTCTAAAATGATCTGAGAGCCAAGACCAAGGATTATACTATGTGCACTTTACAGTTTTATGGTTTTAATAAAAGGTTAATAACAGAGATATTGAAAATAAAATGTTAATTTTTTAGTAAAGATATTGCAACTGAAGTGGGGAGGAAAGTGATTGATTATAATTAACTTAACTTCATTAATACAGAATAACTTCATTAATTCATTGTATTGATTTTTATCTTGTATTGAAGTGCCAACATTTTTAAATAGGTCACTATATATACTAGTATATATATATATATGCACACGCACACAAAATCTTATGTTCCTTTGAAATAATTGTATAATTCGGTTATGTGCTACCTGCGTTAATGAGCTACGTGTAATCACTGTGCTGTTAATCTTACATTCTGTAGTAAGTCAAATATTTCTTGCAGTTTTTATTTTATGAAGTGTCTTCTTTATGAAATGTTTCATCATAGATTGTGCCATATCTGTGTGAATTCAACTTAGAAATTATATATTTGATATATTGTGTTTTATTTTAATGTAAAAGACTTGTTTATATTTCCTTTGCAATAGGTATTCTTGTAAATATATACTGTTTTAGTACCTTTACTGCTTTCTTTATTTCCTTTTTTAAATATTTACATATGTCTTATGCTGATACAAACTATACAAAATATTATATTTGTTCAGCATGAATAATTTACAAATATATTGTGATTGAATGAATAACAAAAGTACCATGTTTAAAATGACTTAAGAGCCTTTATTATGTGCATCTAGAATGTTGGGAATTATCATAAAAGTTTATATTTGGCTTTATAAAAGACATGGAAAATATAATTTAGGTATTATGTTAGGGGAAATTTTTTAAAATACTTTTTATAATGCTTTCTGAAATTATCTGCAAATAAATTTTTAATGAATTATATTGTAAAAATTTCTACCTGAATTTTAAAGTCCCCCCCCTTTTTGTGTGTGTATTGTTTTTATTTTTTGACATGGAGGAAGTATTCTCATGTTTATGCTCACTTTTCTACTTAATTTATTATTATTTTATGTATTATATTTAATATTGAATTTTATAATTTCTAGTCTGAAATATCTTATAATTTGTAGAAGGATGACTTGCCATGTAGCATGCCATATATTTAAAACTGGATTTTTAGCTGCTGAAATAAAATTACTTTTGAAGTGTTAATTTTGTATCAAATTTGCAGTATCCATTATAAACATTAATATAATCTGATGAGCCTTTGAATTGTGGCTACGAAGACTGAAGGTACTTTTATTTTTAATTCCATTTTTAAATACTTGTGAAAACAGATATTTTCCTTTGCACACATACTTTAATTTTGAGACAAATTGTCTCAGTAAGCCTTTTTTTTTTTTTTTTGCAGTCACATTTGTAAAATCGAAACAGTTAAAATTTACTGATGAAAATTTTGATGCTTAACTTGGATGTTGAACAAGCATAAATTTAATACCACTATTAGAAAAGTCATTCAGAACCAAAAATTGCAGAATATTCTATTAATATTCATATATTTTAATTATAATTTTGAAATAACTCTTTTTAATAGCAATTATTATCAAAATTATATTTTATACATTGACTGTGATTCTTGATGCGAATGTAATACTTTATAAGTTTGTAACAGAATGCAAGATAATAAAGTATGTAGTTAAAATATTTCATTAATTTTCTAAACTAATATTTTTTTGTATTCTTATTGGAAAAACTGACTATATACTATGTTGCTAGGAAAATACATCAATCGGACAACACTGCTGTAGAGGAAATAAGGTGTTCGTATATCAGAATATATTGCCTAGGTATAAATATTGCTTCAAATTAGTTTCATTAGTTAAATTTTTATTAATTAAATCTTGTTTATGTTACTAATTTTTTATCATATCAAATAGATTTTTTTGGTTATGAAATAATTAGTTTTTTTATTTACCTAATAAACAACATGTATTTAATCAATATAAAATATTTAATTTGAAAAGAGTTATAGAAAATAAAAATTTTTAATGAAATTGTTTTATTAGCTTACTACTAAAACACATGTACTTCACTTTTTTATACTTTTCATAGTCAGTTTTATTTTACATTGACAATTTATGGTAGTAATTTTTTCATCACTCCATAATGATAAACTTTTTTTTTAAGGCTGAGGGAGTTAACTGTATACATAAAGTTTCCACATATATTGAGAGTGAGTGGTTTATGCTTCCAAAGGCTTTTGTTAACTATATCGAGAGCCAACAAGATGTTAGTTCGGTTTCTGGGAATGTGTAACTTTTCTTTCATTATTATTATTAATTCTTTTGATTTAATTTTTATTATATTTTTCAAATATAAATTCTAATTTTAATTAGTAATATCAAAAGTGAGGTAGAATCTTTTATTGAATTAGATTTAAATAGGAACTATACTATGTTACTGTGTTGAGAAATTAACTCATTTCACCATTATTAATCTGATGTTAATAACATAGTCTTGCCTATTCTCACACTTATTTCGGTCATAATAATATGTCCACTTCACAGC